TAATCTATACAGGCAACATGGGGACCAAAAATAAAGCGAGTGATTAATAGATTGATGCTTACTTGCATAATTGGTATTTGTTAATAGAAATATCAACATATTTAGATATTGCATATAGATTTTATCTAAACGAAATAAGCCAATTGGAGGATTTCTAACAAGAAAATGATACTCTTCTGATCCTTAATATAAGATCTATTTAACTAATTTGATTAGATTAAAAAAGATAAGTAAGTTAGTTAATTATAAGAAAGATGATATGTTTTTTCTTAAAACACCATAATCATCTTTCTTAATATCCTCTCTCCCCCTTTTACTTCATTATGGTTGAGCAAGTATCCATAAGGGTAATTTAGAAAAAATTAATAAATATAAAAAATAGGTCTTATATTGAGGACTAAAATTTACTTAACAATTAGGTCATATATTAAGGACTGGAGGAGTACTTATTAAAATTAGATGCCATGTCTCATGTCAATTGCCAAAGACCTTTTTTGTGTGTCTTTTTTTCTTTTTTCAAATGCCTAAGGAATTAAACACAAACACCTACCTTGCATGCACAGGGACGACAATTTCCTGCTGACCAAAAAAGAGCTTCTGAAATCCCTCTGAACCTGCAGGACTAATAATCCCAGCAACTGATGGCGTTTCCCTTCCTATAAATATGAAATCGGAACTTTTAATTCCATTCCTATTGAAAGCAACCAATCAATTCAATAATTCTCTTGTTTGATACAAACCACAAAGGAAATCAAAATCGAGCATCCGCTGGATTGGGAGTTGCTTGTAGTTGTAAAACAAAGCTTGAGTTGAGCGAGAGAACAGTTGTCCAGTGACCATGATGATGATGAAGAAACCCAGAAATCTGATGCCATATTTTGGTAAGTTAATTTCCAGATTACAGCACAAACAATCCACAAAACATAGTTCACTCTGCATGGGAGATCATGTACTTTTCCATGAAATTAAAACAAGTAGTACTTGGATTGGCCGCACGGATCCCATGATGTTATCGAGCTTTATCAACACTTTCAATAATTTCATTGAGTCTTTTTTTTCGGTCTTTCTCTATAGTTTTTTCATACCGTATGATCTACCCTCCTCACAAGTACCTATCTTTTATATATGTGAGTTACCTCAAATTATAGTATGAAATAAAATCTTAAATTAGAAATATTTTTAAGGTTAACTTTTCATGTCATATGATCTACTTCCTCTCAAGTACCCATCTTCTTTATAACTGATTTTCAGCCCTTGTATGTGGTAAGTTTTTTTTTTTTGGGTCGGCTCTTGTATATGGTAAGTTTAGTAAGTATGCTTCTTCTTTTTCTTCTTTTTTTTCCCCTTCCTGCCCGCCAACTAGGTAGTCTGCCCTTTATTTTTACAGCCAAGAAATTAATATAAGCTGAGACAGATCAATATCTATTAATTAAATTTTTTTTGGGTGTCTCACCTTAAAATATTAATTAATTGTTTCAAGCAACATATCACTTCGCGAGAATAAATTCCCTAGAGGGAATGGGCTTATTTCCAGTTCTCTTTCTCTCCACTTCTTTTTCACTTCCCATCCCAATATTTAAATTGAAATTTGAATAATTCAGATTTAATATTTTATAAAATATTAAATCTGAAATGCTCAAACTTTAGTCTAACAGTTCATATAGAAGTGGAGGGGCAGGAAAGTGGAGAAAAACCTTATGATTGAAATATCTGGGCAAAAAAAGAATCCAAAACAATCTTTGACATATTGAATAATTATTCAATTAGATTCCAAGACTTACTAATAACCTCTTGATTCCTTAATATAATTCTCCTTCGGTTTTTAACATAAGACCTATTTAACTAATTTGATTAGATTAAAAAAGTTAGGCAAATTAGTTAATTATAAGAAATATGACATGTTTTTCCTAAAACAGTATAATCATCTTCTTTAATATCCTCTCTTCCTCTTCTATTTGGTTATGATTGAGAAAGTATCTATAGGGGTGATTTAGAAAAAATTGATAAATATGAGAAATATGTCTTATATTTAAAACTAAAATCAGTTCAAAAATTAGGTCTTACATTAAGGATCAGAAGAGTAGTTATTTAATTGAATTGGATAAATTAAGAAAATCAAATAAATTAGTGAAGTATAATAATGTGACATAATCTCTTAAGATATCTAGGTATTATATTAGACTATATAATAAAAGTATAAATTAGGTAAATTAATTTGAAAAAAATGATAATAATAATTCAATGCCAACTAAGTTTTATATAAAAGAGTAGAGGGAGTATGTCTTTATAATGTCTCGAATAGAACTGACAATAGAAAAAAAAAAATCAATATAGCATCGATTTACCTTGCTCGTCTTCGTACGGCTATTCAACTGAATTCATTGTCTGTAGAGAAAGTTCATCGATCCAGATTACTTACAAAACAGCATCATCCATGCTTCAACTTTTTCCTAGTTTTAGGTTTTGTGTCTCTAATAATGATATTATAAGCATAGATTGTCTCCTTGGATTGCTAATTTAAATGTTGTATTTTAATAATTTTATCGTTAGTATAATCTTTGTGCCCTTAAAGCATGACTAAATGGGCAACAAATAAAAGAATGCAAAATCTTATGCTGATATTTAATCAATTTCATTGTTGGCAAAGCATATAACATAAAATTTTACAAAAAAAAAGAAAGAAAGTACTCCTCCGGTTCTTAATATAGGACACAATTGTTGAGTTGGTTTTAATCTTAAATATAAGACCCATTTCTCATATTTATCAATTTTCTCTAAATTATCTTTATAGATACTCCCTTAACCATAATCAAGTAAAAGAAGGAGAAGAGGTATTAAGAAAGATGATTATGGTGTTTTAAGAAAAATATGTCACATTTCTTATAATTAACTAACTTACCTAGCTTCCTTAATCTAATTAAATTAGTTAAATGGGTCTTATATTAAGAATCAGAGGAGTATTGTTTATTAGTCATGGATCGGAAAGTGTAGTTTGTCCCAATCTCTGTATCAAGTATTTTTATAATTTTAATTGAGGGGTTTTTGACCCTTCACATTTAAAGTAAGAAAATCAAGTCTTTATCTTCCAATTTCTTCTCCTTTAATAATGAAACGGAATATTCATTAAAAAAATAATGAAATAGAATGAATTATGTGCCCTTAAGGAGTGACTAAATAAGCAAGAAATGAGCCATTTTTGGTGTGAATAAGATTTTTTAAAAAAATTCTGCATGTAGCTGTTGGCAAAATATATTATGATATTTTTAATTAATGTACAATTAATATGTGAATGTGTGTGTGTGTGTGTGTGTTTTTTTTTCTTTTGCAATGAAGTGAATCATTTTTAATGAAATTGTAGACTTATTATATTTTAGTTAGACCGCTTGATTAAAAAAAAAAATCATCCAAGTCTAATCCTAACATAAGTTAATTCGGAAAGAAAATAAGTTACTGACTTGAGCCCTTAAAGCATCAGTATTTGAGCAATAAATAAGCCATATTTTAATGAAAAAATCATAAAAAAAGACCTTAAAATAGAAAAATTACAAATAAGAGCCGATCACAATATTGATACAGGTTTTGACAATAATTAATAAGCAAATGATAATAATTTTTGTGAAGCAGTCCCTGTATGCAATTTTTCAATTTTCAAGATCTTTTTTTATGATATTTCCTATTTCAATACTTGTTTTTTTATAATTACAATTTGTTTTAGGAGAATCGTTTCACAGTAAATTTGTATGAAACAAAATCTAATTTTTCACAAAATTATTGACATTAAACATAACAGAAGTTACGTTATTAAAATGTTCATTTGCATTTATTATTGTTTCAACTCCCGGCAATAACAGCTTCAGTTTTTTGACTGAAATGAAAATTCAGTTTTAAGCATGAATATTTCGATATCAACTCCTTTTTTCCAAAAAAGAAAAAAAAACCACTTATAGCAGTATAACACTTTGGCATTAAGTTTTATAAAAGCTGCTCAATCCATTGAAAAGAAAAGCAAAGAACAAAAAACCGAACATTGAATTGACAAAGGTAGTGGTGTAAAGAATAATTGGTCGGATCAAGATCAACTCGGATCAAACAGATCATATTAAAATAATATAATTTAGTTAAAAATAACAAGATACAACAACATTAATAATCATTAATAACAAAATACAAGAAAATATAATAATAGTTTAATTGTAACAATAACAAAATACAATAATATTGTGAATTTTACTTTTTTTTTCTTTACAATTTATCAATAACTAAAATTAATAATCATTGATACAAAACCCACCATTAAAATTCATTCATGTCTATTGACTATTAGGAGCTCAATGAGAGAAGGGGAAAAAAAAACAAATAGCAATATAATCATTCAAAACGATTCATCATCTATTCACACCGGTTTTCACCTATTCACACTGGTTTGACTAGTTCAACTCTTGATCAATTCAATGCACAAACCAAATTAGACCACTGACCAGTTTACCGGTTTTTGGTTGAACCAGCTAGTTTGATCTGGATTTTTTTTTTTTTGCCTTGAAGAAAAGTTATCTCCATTTGAATTAGCTTAAAAAACACTTTTGTATTATATGAGATGAATATGTAAGATGAGTTTTATCTTGTAAAACAAAAAAACATTATTTTAAGAGGTTCTAAAAACCGCGTTAAGTGAAGTCAAAACCATGTTTTGACAAAATTAACCCAAAATTGCTCCTATCTAAACCACATTTTGATAGTTATGCTAGCATGATTCCAAATTAAACATGCACTTGAATTACGTGATATGCACCTTTTATGTGTATTTATATAGGTTAGAACAAAAAACCCTGAAGAAATTTGAGATTATATGTAAAGTGTTGAGAGACCTACTTACAAGCAGGTCCTCATTCTTTCTATCTCTTTCTTCAATAAAACCATTTCAGTTGTTGTCAAGGATTGGGACTTTATTTTGAGATAGTTCTGAAAGAGAATTGGAAAGAAATGAAAACACAACATCTCAATTAGTTAAAGATCTAATTGCTTCATTTTGTATAAGCATCATCGCCAATGCGTTTGAGCTAACTTCTCACAGAAATCATTATTTAAGAGTTGATCGCCACTTAAATAACATATGAAATTCCTATTTCTATCCTTCAATATCTAATCAACTGTTGCCTGCAACTACAATTTCCAACTGCATATTTGACACTTGGATGTTCCCTTTTATGAATTGTACTAACGAGATACAACATAACAAATTCTGGGCCAGGTTTTGGGCCATATTTTCAATCCTATCAAAAATATACGTAGTAGCCCCATGAAACGACCTGTAGCCAACTGTATGCAGAACACAGAATTTGGGTGCGAGTGCTCTTTGTATTTTTGTGATATGCTCATTGATTATTGACATTTAAAAGGTCCAACCAAAGCAAGGGTTTCCTTAAAAGCCAGCAAGAGATGGTGTGGATGATCCTCAATACGAGCAACTACACCATGTTGGGATTGCATGGCTCTCATTGCTCTTCCTACGATCTGAGCAAAGTTTTTTGCACAATCAGTAGCTATATTTTATGTCAGCTGAACAGGGTGAACATTGGTTTGGCCACAAAGAGAGTTTGAATTTTATAATTACAGTCTATAGGTCAGACTTGAACAAACGTTTGTATCAAACACCAATCTCAGGCATATGTCTCACCAACCAAGTTGGCTTGATTCAATTTCCCCACTCTAATGCTGAAGAAGGGTTTGAAGATGAGTAAATGAACTGTTCTGGTCCTTGAATTGTCATAATATCAATATCAACTTAATATAAAATACTAGTGTAATGAGCAGCATTGTTCATAAGTCATAATGTGGAAAAATGTGGGATCTAGTCTGGTTAAAACATGGAACATCAATGGATGTGAGAGTAAGTCCTCGAGAACAACAGTCTCATCATTTTAGTCAATTTTACACTCTCGATCACTTGGTAAAATAATTACTGTTTAACGAGTTTGTTATTTTTAAAAATTAGCTTGTGCACTTACCACTTTCAAAGACAAAAGCCAAATGGACCCAGAAAGTGAACAAATTGTAAGTCTAACCAATTGAAAATATAAAATGGATGATAAAGTATTAGGTACACTGCAAATGACAAACCTTACGTGCATAGCCCCCATGAGCTACACCACCGATTAAAGCATGGGATGAATCAGCTGACCCTGCTCTTGAGGTTGCATAATCTGAATTCTCTACGAAAAATTTATGAGGGAAAAGGAATTGTTATGCGATGGTCAAAAAGAAGCAGCAGAAAATGTGAGGCCGCATATGTGACTTACTGGTAACAATGGTTGTTTGGAAAAGGCCTTCTTTCTTCAACCCATCTATCGTGTGAGCATTAGTTCCACCAGCCAGTTGAAGGAAGCCTGGCATTGAGTCCTCTATCATGACATGGGGAATAAAACTTTTGAAAGACTACTCATGTCGTGCAGAGTTATAAAAATATCCATTTGCCATGTTTATTGGTGATCACCAAAGAAAATATAAAACTATCGCCATGTTTTGTGCATAAAGAAGCTCAGCATGCTCTCCTGGACCAAATCGAATTTTCATACAAACCAGTAGGTCTGTCTCTTGCATCAGCCATTTGAACAGCAAAGGCAACAGTCTCCTTAGTTGCTTCTCTCCCAATATCGCCACTCATGGGACGGCCATCCAACTTGGGTTTAAAAGGAAAAGAGAAATTGAAGTAAACTTTGGCTTATGACAGTTTGAAGTTGTTCATATTGTTTGTGTTTTGGCCACAATTAAGTACGGAAATACCTGACATAAGTTGAAGCATTGAAGATTAGGTTTCATGGTAGAAAACATTTCATTCATGGAGGATATTGTTGAGTTCCCCCCATTTGGTAAGCTAACCTAGAAACCCGGAGGCTAAGAGATTATAATAAAGCATTGCTTACGGCCTTTAAATAGTAGAAGAGGTTGGAGATTATACTTACTGCTATTAGTTTCATATATTTTACTGAATCTCCCAGAGCAGTCCATAGTTCCCTGAAGGGTGTAGTCTGCCTGTAGAAAGGTCATAAATTTAGCTTGCATTCTAAAACGTCATCACAATGAAATCTTGAAATTTGCAGTTTCTTCTATGGAGATATTATACTGTATTGTTCTCATGAAGAACCATTTTAACTCAAACGTTTTTGTTTTTAAGTGGAGACCTTAATGATTTGATTGTGATACCTAAGAGATTACAATAGAGCGCAGTGGACTTTTATGTTTGGATAAAGCACTGGCCTACCATTCTATCCTACCTTATGCCAAGTCTTAACATTAATCAAGGGGATGGGGCCAAAAATGACTGAACCACTATTCCAAAAACCATATCAACTCAAAAGTTTAAACTATTGAATAAAGGCATATAATATTTTTACTATTATCTCTAACTAAGCCATCCCTCCAACTTAACAAAAATAAAGAGAGTAAGAAAGGATGGTATTAAGCAAATGATCACATTCTATGTATAAGCAAATTGAGATGGTGCTCGTATTAACGAGGAAGCAAAAGTTTCAACAAAGCCATCATGAAAAATTATTACCCTCCTCCTGATTGAAAATAGTTTCCTTAAAAGTTTAATGTTATCGACTTACCTCCCACTTGTATGTATTTCTATAGCATCCATATCATCTCTTTTCATGAGATCAGCAGTTGTAATAGCATCTCTTACATATGTTACCTCTCCTGCATCAATATGACAAATGGAAAATGAACATGTGAGCAAAAATGATGGCAATTATCAGTCAACACACCAGAAATGAATAATTAATGAAGTTATGAGGTCAAAATCGTAAATTGACAGAGATATCCCACTTATTTTATCATAGGGGCAAACTGGGAAACAGCGACCACAGCCATAGCAGCGTTCAGTTATAACTCCATCCTGCATGTTTTTTACAATAGAACATTTTAGAACTCGTGTGATTTTTTTTTTGGGAAAAAAAACAGAGATAGATATAGAAATAGAAATGCACACTTGCCAGTAATTGAATTAAATCATGTATATTAAAAAAAAAACAAAAAAAAAAAAGAACTCATACTCTTGGTATTTGGATTTCATAAGTACTTCCTAGTCCTGTATTCTCCTGCAATGATATTGCATTAGCAGGGCACACATTTTCACAGGGCCTTGAACAGTCTGTTGGACAGTCTTCTTGATCAAATTCTGTGGAGAAGACATTGCAGAGATCCTTTATACATTGCTAGCAAATGATACATAGCTGTGCATTAATAGTTTTACTTAAGTTTGGTGGCTCATTCTTCATTTGAGGAAATATTTTAAATATAGAGGTCATCAAAGATGATCGTGCTCTATTAAACAATTGCATAACTTAATATAATCTGTGCTGTCAGTTCTAATGTCATGGTTATGCATGGAAATGAGAAATCCGAGTTTACATTTCAGAAATCAATCTGCCAGAAGATCGATGTTGGAATGAAGAATAACCTTCCTCCTCATACTTTGCAAGTAGACAAATTCAGCTCAGGAATTTTCCAACTTTTGTCACAGATCTGAAATTTGCACACTACAGATCTTATTCAAAGTTTTATTTGAATCAAATTATATTTCAAATAAAGTACAAGATTCTATTTGAGAAGTTTCACATATTTGTTGTTCAATATTTATCATCGATTTCCTGATTCAGACGCTAAATTTCATTAAATCCATAGTAATATGAGAATAGAGAAGAATGATGTGTTATGTGCATGTAGATTGTTTTTATAAGATTGAGGTTGAACTTATGACCCGGAATTAGAGGTGAAACTATAATGTAATGATCATATGGGGGATTACATGCTTCATTTAAGACATTCATTAGGACTCATCATGGAAAAAGTTGGAACATTTGAATGTCGCATTAATGTTTCAAAGATGTCTGACTTGCTCTGAAGCACTTAAATACTGTTCTTGCTAATGAATTTCCTTACCAGGCTTAACGAAAGTGAAGATCTTTATCATCATTGACACTTATCATCAGCCATGGCCTTCGAAGGTTTACAATGTCTCTTGCAGTCTCAAGTCCTTCAGTCACTGCATTGACCACCGTTGCATCAGCAGCACAGTCAATGCAGTCAACTGCAACCATATAATTCAAACAAATTATTTTTTTTGCCACCCTCAAATAAATTAAATTAATATTACTTACCGAGGTCCACAAATGAGTAATGGTGAAAAGTAAAACATCCTAGTTATTTAATAGATATCCTAATACTTTTAATATTCAAAATCCTATCATAAATAACATATAGTATGAAATATGAAATTAAAAAAATCCAAAATGCCAAAATTTAGTTATGAGGGGGCCGAAAAAATGTACCATATGATAGAGTACCATATGCCCTCTATGTGTTTTACGAATGAAGATTAACAACTAACAGTCGCTACTTCCACAAAGAAGCGGATGAAAAATCAATATGTTCTATTTCTTCACTCAAAAGAAGCTACACATTTCTTACCTCCAGCAAGAGTGTAAACCAGGCTGAGATTCCTGATATCAACAAAATCCTGAAAGGCAAGTTAGGTTTTAACAAATAGAGACTAAAGAGAAAGAGCTAGATGGGGAATCATGAGATTGAGCTTTAACTTCACACACCTCAAAGCTTGCTCCACAAATAAGCTTCACCCAGTTGCCTCTCTTGAGAGCTTCAAGCGGAGAAGATGATATAGAAGGAAGCCCAACATTTTTCACAATGCTCTGAACATTTTGAATACATTTCTTGCTTCTCAAATCCACTTTTGTTGCTATAAAATAATAAACAATGCTATTAAGGAGAGAAAGAGAGTGAAAGAAGAAGGTAGACGAAGAATTACCTTGAGGCGAAGTCGAAATTTCGTATTGCAGGAGATTCTCAGAGCCACCACGGCGTCCAAGAAGCTGAAGTTGCTGGTGTCTAAAAGCTTCGCATTGAGTTAACGGATAAACAGAATTTAGCGGTTAATAAACCACCATCTTGCGACGGGATTGATTTTTTTTTTTTTGAGTTCCCAGAGAATCCTCCCACTCAAACGATAAGAGACTAATCTCTTAGCCGTCGTAACAGGGATATCTCCTAATAGTATTTTTTACATACATACCGCCTCAAAAATCAAACCCAAGATATGATGTTTAAAAGACTCAATTCCCTTTCACTTGAATCAATACTTGTTGGTTGCGACGTGATTGATTCGATGCAACATGGGCAGCCATTTTGAAATGGACCTTTGAGCCCAGCCCAACTTCTCTGCTAAAGTGAAGAGAATGTAGTAATTACACAAAAGGCCCCTGAACTTTGAGATATATGCAAATAAATTCTCTCACATTTAAATCTCTTTTTAAAAAAAATTTTGGCAAAAAACTCTTTGAAAAAAAAATTACTCCAAAGTCTAGGCTTCTAAATTCATATACAGGTAACTTCCATGCCAACAATTTACTGACTATCTTAGCTGATAAAATGTAATGTATTATTGGCCATATACCCTTCAAACTTTATTTTATATATATAATACATTTAAATTTTGAGTTATATGCAAATAATTTCTTAAATTTAGTTTACGTGTAGAAGACCAATTTGTATAAAACATAATTGACAAAAATGAACTATGAGGAAATTATTGGGATAAATGTAGAAATTTATGGGGATTTCTAATCACTCAAGTTGGGAGAAGATATCCACACATAATCCCAAAGAATTATGCATAATTAAAAATGCAGACTATCATATTCAATGTTACAAATTTTCCTTTTTGAGTAATTTTTCTAAAACTATCCTCATTTACTTTATTTGAAAAATGATATGATTAGTAGACTATATTTCATCACCTATTAACACATTAATTGAATAGGATTATATTGTATAATGACTAATAAATATTACATCATACTTCATAAATTTTTTGCCTTTGACTTGTAAAGAGTCTTATAAATATTATAACCAAATGAAAGGGTTGAAAAACATTCCTATATTTAAGATTGAAATGAATAGTTTTCAATAATGTTTTATAAAAAGATTTTTTTAAAATTTTCAGATAAATTAGATCTCAGGGACTCATCATAATTAGAAGCCAAGACATGTTTTCAAATTCAAAAAACGCTTATAAAAATATTTATAAACTATCAATCAGTAAGATTCTTATATCAATAATAGAATTTGAGTAGCTTTGTGGGTTATTAGTCTTTGACCCATTTTTATTGGTTTCAAAATGGATTTCGTTTCCTCCAGAGAGGTTTTTACTCTCTTTCCCCCCCCCCCTTTGGCACCAGCCATAGAGGTTTTTGCTCAACGGGTCCATGAATATATAGTTATGTACAGGGTCCTCTTGCGATAAAGTTACTTGTTACCATATCATGAAATCTGAAGCTAATTTCCAATGAAGAGTGTCCACGTGTCAGAAAAATCTGCTTTTTGGATGAAGCCTCAGCCACATAAGTCATGTGACCACGTGGTTCATTTTTGACCAGTGACTCATCTTATGCGTAATTACTCAACTACCCTACCGGCATTAGTGATCACTGATATGTCTAGACTGCCTGTCATAATTAGCATTAAGTTTTCCCCTTATGTTAATTACATAATAATCAAATTAAAATATATCAAAAAATTTTCATAATAATCAAACAAGTGTCAAATATTCTATTATCACTTTACTCATATTTTCTTTTTGGATTAAGCCTATTATTAAAATTAGAATGAAATTATAATGGACGTAAAATAATTGAATAAAAATAATAAGCAGTGGGAAAAATAGAGGGCTATTTAAGTAATTGTACAAGGTCTCTTCTTCCTCCGCATTCCGCCTCGCATTTTCTGTGCATGTAAAATCAAAAACAGTTTAATCAGTTAACCCAGAAATGAATTCCTTCCTTCTGTCTTCTTCTTCATCTTCTTCTTCTTCCACTTCTTGTTCTTCCAACTTCACGATCTTTACTCACTCTCAGAACCCTAACCATCTCTTTAAGCTCAAATTCAAATTACTCATTTTACCCCTCCACTCCTCACCTTCCCACCATATCGCTGTGAATCCACAATGTTCCCTCAGGGACTCATCATCCGCCACAGTGCTCGCGAAGAAGTCCATTTCTACTCAACCGTTGGACGGCGTTGTATCCAGCCAAGCGAATTCACCCAATACTGTCACAACGGAGGATAGTGTGCTGGTAGTTCGCCGGCCGGTGAAGGAGTTTTCCGACGATGAAGAGGGGCGGCAGGTGGAGGAATCCGAAGGAAAGGCTTCGGCGATCGATGCGGGGCTTAAGGAATTTGCGAAGAAGATGCCGATGTTTGAGCCGGTGAGGGTCGAATCGGACTCTAAAGAGAAGCTACTTATTGTGAATTTGGATTTAGCATTATACCGTGCGAAGGTTTTGGCAAGGAATTTTCGATATGAAGAAGCAGAAGCAGTGCTTCAGAAGGTACGGCCCCTTTTTTTTGGGGTGAATCTGTCCGTAAAAGGGATTAAAACAAAGTTTTTGCTTAGATTGTGTGAGTTGAATGGTGTTAAGTTGTATCTAAGTTTTGCCCTCGGCTCCTCGCTAGTGATTTGCCAATTTGGTGGATTATTTCTCATTTTTGGTTTCGTTTGAATCTTGAAAAAGTGCATAGAATATTGGCCAGAAGATGGTCGACCGTATGTGGCGCTGGGGAAAATTTTGAGCAAGCAATCGAAAGCAACTCAGGCCAGAGAAATATACGAGAAGGGTTGCCAGGCTACTCAAGGGGAAAATGCCTACATTTGGCAGGTAGCCCTAAATTTTGTTTTTGCATTGTGATCATGGGTATACTTGTTTGTGGGTTTGGGCCAAAATACTAAAATAGTTTTAGGAGTGTTCAGCTTCGACTTAAGCTCAAATTTACATTCATCTGAACTTATCAAGTTACATTTATCATGAAAGGGCAAGTAGTGCTTTCAATTCATAAGGGTAGTGCATGGCCCTTGTTTATTTGCATATAAATATGAGTCTACTTAATTTTTTTTTTCCCCTAAGGAAAAATTTCCTCGAGTAAATTTGACAATGATCTGTAAAATAATGTTTGAACAGTAACTTCGGTAACCTTTTTCCTTGAAAAAAAATTCCTTTCGAAAGTAAGTGCACTTTGCCAGAATGGCCACATTTTTCATTTTCTTTTTAGTTATTAACCTTATCCAGTTTATAAACTGAAGAATAAAATGCGAGACGTAATGGAATAAAATATAAGGAAAAATGTATAATATGAAATTTAAAGAGCGAAGAAATAGGTGAATTATTTTGTTGGGCCTGTCTAGGCCCAGTCTACTAGCTGGAGCCGTAAGGTAAATTTTTCTTTTCCAGATGTTAGGCATGGGCCTACGCCCATGAAGTTGGACCAAGTACTTACCCCCACCCTCCAGCCATCGTAACTCACGAACACCTCTAATATTGGGTCACATTTTCTTGTGTAAATTTGGGACTTCTTGGAGCTTATGCCCTGAGAAATGCCTATGTATCTTTTTGGAATTTGACTTGATACTGCCCTTATTATGCCCGTGCAAAGAGTTTTGAACGTGAAAAATAAATAGAAGAAAAAGAAAAAAGAAAGGTGGGATTTCAAAATTATGTGCATGCGTTGCAGTTTTTGCTGTTCCTACGCAGTAGTTCAGGGGGTCTAAACGGACGTGGAAATTAAGATACATTTCTTTCTTGATTTTTCTCTCCATCATCAAGGCTGATAATGAAAGTTCATATGCCCTCATCTTCAAGAATATCGCTGAGTTACTAGCCAAAGATTCATGGTTATGGCCATGGCTAAGTCTAGATTATCCTCGTACAATAATTACTTGCATCCAGCAGCCATACATTTTTTTTAATTTTACCTAGAATGTTGCTTTTTCTAAGGCATATATATATGCCTATGATTAATTACTGGCATACCAATATCTTTCAGGATGAAACTTAATTGAACCTCACAGTTGGAGTAGTTCATCAGTTGGCATAAGGAGTGACTGCTCCTAGTACTATGATATATTGAATTTATTTTACTTATACTGAAGTTGACACTGGAAAAATTCTTAAAACAGTGCTGGGCTGTTCTTGAAAAGAAAATGGGTAATACCAGGAGAGCTAGAGAGTTATTTGATGCTGCCACAGTTGCTGATAAGAGGCATGTTGCGGCTTGGCATGGATGGGCTGTTCTAGAGCTGAAACAGGGAAACATAAAGAAGGCAAGGAATCTACTAGCCAAAGGTCTTAAACATTGTGGACCAAATGAGTACATATACCAAACGCTTGCATTGCTAGAAGCTAGGGCAAACCGGAATCAGCAGGCTCGGTATTTATTTAAGCAGGCCACTAAGTGCAACCCTAAAAGCTGTGCTAGTTGGCTTGTAAGTCTTGATTGTCCCGTAAGTTCGTAATGGATTCTAAATGTGTGGTTCTTGCAAACATATCTAAATGTTTTAATTCTTTCTGATTTAGGCTTGGGCACAATTGGAGATGCAACAGGAAAACAATCGTGCTGCTAGGCAATTGTTTGAGGTGATATATGATATTGCCAATTTTGGCCGGCTTGTTGAAATTGGAAGACTTATACATGTTAGTCTTCGTTAGTTGCATTGATTAATTTCTATCCTTATTTCCTTTCTTTGTTGTCCAATTAACAGAATGCAGTAAATGCAAGTCCCAAAAATAGGTTCGCTTGGCATGTATGGGGCATTTTTGAAGCTAGTATAGGCAACGTTGACAAGGGAAGAAAACTTCTAAAGATAGGCCATGCTCTAAATCCTAGGGACGCTGTTCTCCTTCAGTCTCTTGCATTACTGGAATACAAAAACTCAACTGCAAATCTTGCTCGGGTATTGTTCAGGAGAGCCTCTGAATTGAACCCAAAGCATCAGCCAGTCTGGATTGTAAGAAATATCTCCCTGAGGATCTTTCCAACTTAGAACATTTTGTTGCTGTAATTTGTCTTCTCTATATGATCTGTTGGTTAGTGAGCTTGCAATAGCGAATTCTGTCTTTGTCCTTTTGCTGCCGATTAATAACCTACTAGGAGATCCAATAATGTTTCCAATAGTTAGTAAGTTCATTTATGACGAATTTCGGCATGACACTGTTTATTGTCTTCCTCTAGGTTCATATTGAAGTTTTAAGCATTATATTAATTGTAAAGTTTGAGAATATGCAGGCTTGGGGTTGGATGGAGTGGAAGGAAGGAAACTTGAATACAGCTAGAGAATTATACCAAAAAGCCTTATCAATTGATTCAACCAGTGAAAGTGCTGCCCGATGTCTACAGGTAATAAATGACTTTTGATTCATCCGAATTATCAGTATGTTGGGACTACTTATTGTTGTCTAATTGGGAGAGGTCTACTATTTGCCCTCACTGTCTAAGGAAGTTTAGTCTTTGTTGCCAGCGGAGAGTACTCCTGTTGTCTCACCCTTTATAAAAAAGCAGACTTATATTGCTGCTGCCTTCCAATGCAGGCTTGGGGTGTTCTGGAGCAGAGGGCTGGTAATCTTTCAGCCGCTCGCAGATTATTTAGATCCTCATTAAGTATAAATTCTCAGAGTTTTGTGACATGGATGACTTGGGCATCATTGGAGGAACAGCAAGGAAATTCTGTGCGTGCTGAAGAGATTCGTGATCTCTATTTTCAGCAGGTAACTTCCTGGATAAATTTTTAAGCATACATGGCCCACAATAATATGAAATAGACCTGATGACCCGTCACTTTGATTTTGATTTATTAACTATGAGAGAAAATATAATACAAATTTGAAAATTTTTCTATAAATATGGGTAAAATAAAAAGTTTATTCTATTGTCTAACAAAATTAATTACTTAACCAGAGGTAGTTAGAAGTGCCTTACAATAAGTATCAGAGTGAATATATCCAAATCCAACTGGATTAAATCTTCACATAATATTCAATATATTAGATGCAATACATCCATTATCAATAGTATTACCCTTCAAATTGAGTTTGGCTGCTTGACCTTTTACAAAAATGATACTTAAGACATGACCCTTCGCAAAATTTATGAAGCGGTTATCATATGCTAAGGAAGAATGAATTGACTTAATGTGCTAAGGAAAAGAGCTGCATACACTGTCCAAATGAAAGGTAATTTTCAGATGTTATGACAATAAAAATCAAATTACATCAAATAATTTTAACTTCCTTTCTTAATCTATGTAATTCATTCAAGAGTCCTATAAGTAGGACTGGATAGAGTATACTACTACATGCAACTGTATCTCATTTTCCGGGGTTTAGTGTTGAACTTTCTATGCATTTATCACACCATACTATTACCGAACCTTAGGACTTACATTTTGCTATACTATTATTCAATCATTATATTTGCTTCGTTAGAGCCGGGAATCAGGGCCGGCCCGACCCTCCAGGGCCGGCCCTTCAGGGCTGGCGGGCTTAAAAGGGCCGGCCCTCCAGGGCTGGAATTTTAAAAATACCCCAATTTGCTAGGCCCGGCCCTTAAGCTACAGGGCCAGGGCCGGCCCGCGGGCTTTTGGCTCGTTTAAGAAAAAATACTATTTTTTATATTTATCATATTTTTTATAAAAATAAATCAATGAAATTATTAATAAAAGACATAAATATGAATAAAATTAAGTCACATATAAAATATCATCATATATAAATATTCATCAACATCTAAGAACATCTAAAACATTCATTAACAAGATAACAACATCTAAAAGTTTTATCTATAATGCAATTGTGCAATAAATAAACACTATTATTAATCTTTTGAAACTTCATCATCACTATAATTAATTACTTTTCTTCATAAGTATATTTTTCTTTCGTAACAAAAATATCAAGTTTTTCTTCTTTATAAGAATTTTAATTTTAAATTTTGCAATCTAACTATTTTTTTACTTTAATGTGAGAAACATTGCTGTTAAAACTCATGAATTTCTAATTCAAATTATAGAATCACAAGTTATATAAGTATAAAAATATTCTATTATCAAATATATATATAGTTTAAAAATATCAACGCATATAATATAAATCAAATCATTATTAAAGTCCAAATTAACCCATTTTTTAAAAATTTAATTGGATAAATTATTATTTAAAACTAAATTTACTTTTAAAATGATAATAATAACTAAATATTTGAAATATTATTAACAATGTAAAAATTAATAACATTAATCTTATATAAAAAAATTTTAAAAATAAAAAAAATATAAAAGGGCTTAAAAGGGCCGGCCCGTGGCCCTCCAGGGCCGGCCCTTTTAAGCCCTCGGCCCTCCAGGGCCAGCCCTCCAGGGCTTATGTTTCATTTTAAGAGAAAAATATCAAGCCCGGCCCTCATAATTTCAGGGCCTAAAAGGGCCGGCCCGACGGGCTCGGCCCGTTTTCCCGACTCTATGCTTCGTAATGTATGTTTTCTTTTTTTTTAAAAAAAAAAAGGTGAAACGAGATGCAAAAGCTTAAAATAGCATAGTAGTCTTGAGGCGTGGGTTTTCTCTGCTCAACTCAATGAGAAAGGCTAACTTTTTTTTCATGCAACAGCGAACCGAAGTTGTTGATGATGCTTCGTGGGTTATGGGATTCTTAGACATTATAGACCCTGCCATCGACAGTTTGAAGAGGCTCCTAAAATTGGACCAGAATTTGTACAGAACAAATGATAACAATGCTGATTCAGAGTCAACTACCCCATCTCCTAGCTCCATTGACAATACTGATGTGGATGGTGAAAGTGGTTTCAATGTAGATGCTTTTGTTATGGAGAGGTTGTCCCTAGATACTTCCAAACTCGACGATCTGCTGGAAACGCCTAGAAATTCTTTCTCCAGAAGAAGTACGTCTCCAAGAAGAATATGGAGATCATCAAACAACAGGCCGTCAAAGGCTTAACATCACAGCATAGTGTATTATATTTTAGGATTGGCTTTGAGCACTACAGATTTGTGTGATGCGAAACAGGCCATAGAATTGTACATGTCTACCTTCTGGTGAAAACAGAGCATCATAAGAAACCACCTGTAAAGATACCAAAGAATTATTGTCATCAAAATGATTGTACTTAAATATTCCTACATGAAATATAGTTAGAATAAAGCAGTTCCAAATTTATTGATTTGGTTTACATAGCTATCTGAACTGGAGAGGTATAATTTAGCAATGGGAGGAAAAGGCTTATGATATATTGCTTGACTGTTGTATTTTCGATGTACTCTTGATGCTTAAACCGTAAAATCTTCCAAAACATAAATTTTTGTCATAACTAGATTCTAATGCCACTTGTTTAGACGGTCAAGACCTGGGGGAATCTTTCATCTTGGGATTCTGAGCTCCCCACCTTGCTGATAAGCCCATTTTTGCCGACCTTTTTCTTTTTTCCTGCACAAGTTCAACTCTTTCATCAATTCTATCATAGACACAGGGTTTGTTGTCTATTTACCTATATATTTGTATAATTCAACTTTATCTATTATGAAAATTTTCACATTAACTCACATGAAACACTTTTTAAAGTCTGAATTAATTCTAATTTGTGTGGCATGTTAACAGTTGTTTTACTATATATCGTTATGTTGATATGAACACTGGTTTTCGGCCTATCCGACAATGTGATGAAATTTTATAGGATATAATGAAACCCTACTTGGAAATTTGTCGCAACATTACTATAAAATTTAATGAAGTATACCCTTGGTATTTTCCGATGTTTTCCTTGGGAATATTATAAGACCATTGTTTCATATCTGAAGTTCATGAGAAGGGAGCATAAAGTGAGACAACTAATTGTTAACATTATAATGTTCATGAGGACAATAGTAGTATTGGACCCTAAAACTCTCTGGGATCCACAAACATGTTCCCCATTTGTCCCTTGATGAGCAGTTCTTCATTCTGACCCCTATGGTCTGAATTTCTTTTGACGTACCAAAGATCCTCAATACATGACATAGAAGCAGTATGAGGAACAATGTTTACAAGAGGATCAGCCAAACCTAGCTCCGTCACAATCACTTTGCATCCCTTCATTTTCTCTGCCAACCTTGAAGTGAACCTGCAAATGGATTCCATGAGCTCCCCAAGATTCTCGCCTTCTCCATGTAGTCCATAAATGAAGTGAAAACCAGAAGGTCTAGACAGTGAAGCACCACTCAATAACATTCTCGGACACGGCAAGATTTTCTCTCGCATGATTCAGAGTATCATGCAGAAAGCCAAGTGAATGATTATGATGATGAAGCTTATAATTCGCTTCACAATCATTGGCATTGTTCCATATGCTGAAGATGATCCAGTTAGTGCTTGGGCTTCCATTGAACCAGCCTTCATCTTGGTAGTAACAAACCCAAGTTCCTAGGCTTAGCTTCTCCTTCAAAATAGATTCAGTGTCTGTGGGGAACATGTCTTTGGTCTTGAAGCTTTTTCTGTAGAGAGAAACTGCATGATCTATCTGCAACTTGTCTATTTTTATATCTGTCACTGAGATATATTTTTTTGGTGGTGATGGTGAAGAACTTGTGGGTTGGACAAAGATGACTAATGAGCTTAGGTTGAAGTAGTTGCATTTCTTTGTGAATTGGTTTCTGGAAGTTTCATTTTTCTTCTCAGTGGCTAGTAATGTGTACTCAGCTCCATTTCTCACCATCCATTCTTCAACTGATCTGATAAGTTTCAGTCCAATGCCTTTTCTCCTAAATAAGAGACATTTTATTCAGCTTTCTCTAAAGCAAAACTAAATTTAATAAATCTCAACAGACGTAGTTTCTAAGACATAACTCTTTGTAGAATAGGCCATGAATAAAGAGAGGACAACTAGGTTTATCACAAATAATATTAAAAAATAAAGTATAAATAAAATTGATTACACATACAATTTTCAAAAAAGACTCAACCTTTTAAGATAAAGTTATTTGTGGAATTAGTCCTGATATAGTTTAGAGCAGAAATCAAATCTTCTGAGGTAAAAAATCATGACTATGTTGTACATTATATATGTTAGTCATTGGGTCAAATCCATTTCCAAATCATTGAATTAAGACAACCGACTAGATTTTGGATAAGAAAATGCAACATAGTTTTTGATAAAAAAAAAAATCTAAAAAGCAAATAAAGTACGACGAATAAAAGTTAATATTACCTATTAAGCGGAGAAACTCTAAGTCCTAGCGTAGAACTCATCTTCAAGATTGAAGTGGAATGAGTGGCCACACTCTTAATGCCTCCCCTTACCACTCCCACAAGCTCTCCACTTTCAAGCAGTTCAGCAACCTGCATGTCATTTTCCAGCAAATACAACGAAATCACCAATGTATAAACATTTGAAAAACAAGTTATGTATTGTTGAAATTAAGCCCAAGTCAGTAACGCATACCAACATAACGTGAAGGGGATAGAACGTAATCCTAGATAAAGGATGAGCCATCATGTTCATGTTGGTGACATCATTTGGAATTTCAATATTCGTCTCAAGCTTCCCCACTTGTGTAATATCTCTTTCTTTGTCTAATTCTCTAATGAGAACCTTTCTCTCTATGCTCTCCTTCACCATTTCTTTCTTATTTTGGTCCCTTGCCTTCCTACTATTGCACCCTTTTACAGACACACACACACACACACACTTACACACTTGTAGGGTTGAGCATTCTCACAATGTATACTTTGAATATAAACATTATATGGCGAAGGATTAAGAGGATTTGTGATCTTTTTTCTCAAGCCTTTCTTGTCCAGTGTTCACATTGTTGTGTGTGGTTGTGTCCTCTCACAGTAATATCTCTGTGTTTTTTTTTTTCTTATTATTTTTCCCATGCTGTTCAGTGTTCACATTGATGATTACGTTGAAAGAATAGCATCAACCTAGCTTTCATGTCCGGTCTCAATTTGTGTGTGTGTGTGTGTGATTGATATAAACATATAAACAGGTAAGTTTTAGATATATAAGTTTAACCTATTTACTCAAATAGGCTTAGTTAAAAACTTGATTCTAACTTTTTTTTCAGTCACAGGGGTTAAGCTCCGACCTGGCTAGACCATAATTTCAAAATACCATTCAATTATCTGAGCTGAGTCGCAATGAAATACGTATCGAAGAGAACTTGATTAAAAAACATACACTTCAATCTCAATCGAGATTCCCATGTTTAAGGGATAACTATTTACGTAATTTTAACATTTTCTTTTATCATTCACTACAAATTAAATCTTATATTTAGTACTGAATATAGTATTAAGTTTAAGGTACCATAGAAAAAATAGTCCCTCTTGTCTTTGTTATGTGACATCAAGATCAACTAGAAGGTGTTCTTAGTTATTTTTATCAAGCAGTAGCCAATAAGCATTAAATATTTTTTTTTTCATATATGCCTATATTTAACAACGATAGTTGAGGAGAGTAAATATTAATATGATGTTGAAGTTTAGTATAGTTAATACAGATAATATTAGAAATCACTTGAATTGGGTTAATACCATTGTTAATTCTCATATTTCGATTGAATTTTGGCTTTGATCCTTATGGTTTCAAATTGGTAGCTTTGATACATATAGTTTCATAAAGATTTGGTTTGAGTTTACTAAATGTTCCCTTCGCTTTGGACGAGCTTCTGTTTTAGTGAGTGTTTGGCAACTATGCAAAAAGTATTTTTGAGCTCAAACCATAATTCGGCCTAAAAAGTATCCAAACAGCCCCCATATTTTTGAAACTGTAGTTTGGCCTATTAAAACCATGGTTTCACCTTAGGTGAAAAAATTTTACTTTGCGAAAGGTTGAATATGGGTGTTGCATAACCATTACAATGTCAGAGTAAAGCTAACGGTGAGAAGTACCCTTTAGCAAAAATCAAAAACTTCACCTTTTCTCCTTCCTCGTTCTACTTTTCTTTCTCATTTTCTTCTACTTTCTTGTTGTCTTCTTATTTCATTTTTTTTCTATATTGTTATTAAAAAAACTAGTTGCTCAAATGCTGTCCATAGTTGCAACCTCACAATGATTATGACACTTGATTATTTAATCTCATACTTTATATACACTTGCAATTATTAATTAGTTATATAATTAATAAATTGTTTTTATGTATATTCATTCAATTTTGTTAGAAAAAATATTATGGGATATGATGTTTAAAATATTTAAGATAAAATAAGATTTTTTGTTGGGAAAAAAATCAATTTTTAGAAACATATTTAATCTTATATTTTATAAATATATATACACATATTACTCATTAATTAATTATATTTTTTTATATATTATTTATTAGTCAGTAAAAAAATATTATTAACAAATTTATTACTTCAAATTAAAATCTACTTTTATATAATGATCATATTAATTTATATCATTTTTAGTAATTTGTATATAAAAAAAATATTTCTGATAATAACTATTCAAACACTCTTATTTTTATCAAAATTATTTTTTTCACAAAATCTATTCTTTCAAAATTTATTCTCAAAAAATAAATTTTCTCCAATAAGTTATTCTTCAAAGTCATGGTTTAATTTTATCCAACTCCTTATGAAACTATAGTGACCAAGTTCAACAATTTGAAAATACAATGACCAAAATCAAAATCCAATCAAACTGTAAGAACCAATAATTATATTAACTCATTTGAATTTTATGATAAATTTAATGCTTTTAACTATTTTACTAATATGTGTAAATTAATTAGAAGTAACTTGTAACTGGATCAGAGGAATAATTATATGTATATAATTTTTAAAAAAAATTCCAAGGGAAAAGGAAAAAGCTAAGCAAGAAACCGGGGCACATAAGATATTTAAAATATATATATATTTTTATTATAAATAATTAATTTAACTAATTTTTTTAATGCATATGAGTTAATTATCCACCCATTATATTCACATAATGACGGGTTCAACTGGGGGAATATAGAGGTTCTCAGAGATGTCCCCGCTTCCTTTGCTTTCCTATCACATCACAAGATCACAAAAAGCTGCTCAACAAAATGTGCAACATGCCCCAGCCAGAATTCCCAATCATTTCATCATTCCATATATGTGTCATTGACAAGTAAAGCATATTTACTCATTTTATTCACAATAAAATATTTCAATAATTCATTAACTAAATTATTTTTATCGTGTTTTAATCTTCTTTTTTTAACTGAGAGAAATTACATGAAAAAAGAGTGTCAAAATTGGATGGAAAATAACAAGTTTTCTTATTTATTTCAAAAAGG